GAAACTTTTAAAGCTAGTTGTCATGATTTACATATGATTCTCCCAAAGGCCAATGTGTTAATATCTTGGTCACCATCTTCAGGTATTAACATGTGGTGGTAGAAACATTTTTTGCAGTGCTAGGAATAGAACCTAGGGATTTTTGTATTCTAGGCAAGCACTCTACCACTGATCTCCATGCTAAAATCTAGAATCTTTAAGTGGTGGAGACTAATAGGATGGATTTCTGATACTTGGACATGCCTTTGAAGGAACTCTTTGGGCAGTGGTCCCTTCCTCTTTCTTTGTTTATTATTCACTATGAGGTGAGTCACTGCTTTTTTCAAGCTTTCCTGCCATAATTTACTGCATTCTAAAGGTCTCAAAAGCAATGACCAACCACTATGGACTGAAACCATGACCCATTTTTTTCCTTTCAAATTTGAGTAACCTCAAACATCTTGTCACAGTGATAAAGTTGACAAATATACCAGTCAACAGATTATTTATTTTCTTGTTTCAAAATATCTAATTTAATCAATTTTGCATAATTTATTACACAGTATTTCTGTTATTATGCTTATTAACCTAAATGAACATATGTATACATATGCTTATAGTAAATATTTGAGTAGTTCATTAAAATGAAGTAAAATTCTATGCTAAAAATAAGGACATTTTGAAATTTTTAGACTTCTTTAGTTGAACTAGGGACTTCATGTTGAAAGGACCTTCAAAACAAGACATTTGTGAGCACACTATAGTCCTTTGTTATTTAGAGACAGTAGATTGTCTCTAACTCACTTTCAAAGAATACAATTACAACCAGGCAGTGGTGGCCCAGGCCTTTAATTCCAGCACTCTGGAGGCAGAGGCAGGCAGGTCTCTGTGAGTTTGAGGCCAACCTGTCTACAAGAGCTAGTTCCAGGACAGGCTCTAAAAAATAAAACAAACAAACAAACAAACAAAAAGCAATTAAAACCAGACATGGTGGTACACACCTTTAATCCAACACATGGGAAGCAGGCAGATCTCTGTGAGTTTGAGGGCAACTCTGTTGTGAAGGGGCACGCTTTTGGTCCTGTCCGGCTCCTGGCCGCCCGGCTAGCTTATACCCGAAATAATTACACAGAACTGTATTCATTTAAACACTGCCTGGCCCATTATATCTAGCCTCTTCTTGGCTAATTCTTACATATTTGTTTAACCCATCTCCATTAATGTGTATCGCCACTTGACTGTGGCTTACTGGCATGAGTCTAACCAGCGTCCATCTTGGAGAGGAGAGCCATGGTGTCTGCCACATTGCCTTTTTAGTCTGGCCTACATAGTAAGTTCCAGACCAGTTCAGAACATACATTGAGACACTGCCTCAAAATAGAAGAATGTGGCCTAAGATGTAAGCACCAGTCTGATAATACCTTAAATCTATAACTCTTCATATCCACACATATGCCTTGCTTTCTCTAGCAGAATAACAATGTCTCTTCATTGCTGCCAAGGTTACTTGCATGGACAGTCTCATGTATAATAGTCTCCAGCATAATAGAGTAGTCGTTATCACATAAGAAAGTGTCTATAAATAACGATATGAGAGTTAACAGATAAAGATCCCCAATATGAAATGTATAGAAGTGTCGAAGTTTCATAGGGACTGTCATAAGAGATCGAGAAAATAACTTGTCATAACAGTATTATTATACTTCCTAATAGTTGCTATCCTTTCCATAACTCATTACTATTGTCCTCACTTCTGTTTGTATGGATTGTATATCAACTTTAGCTTCAAGTTCTACTTTCTAAAAATCCCAAGTTATGATACCTGAAAATTTTAAAATGAAAATAACTCTGGACTCGAGTCAGAAGTTTGTAATTCCAACATTTTTGGGTGCAATACAACTAAAATATGTATGTAACTGTTGCTTTGTTCTTAACATAGGAATATGTATATTTTAACTCCAAGGTGATAGAGTAGAACTAAGAGAAGAACTAATCACCAATGGGGCATGTTACTCTGTACTTGTTTACATGGTACTTCAAATTTCTGTACCTGACTCTGGAACATTAACTTGAGAGTAAAGCACCTAGGTTCATATCTTAGCTCCAGTTTTAATAAGCTGCCTAATAATTCTATGCTTCATTTTCTCATGTGTGAAATGGAGAAGGGAATAGTACCTATACCATACAGTTATTCTGAGAATGAAATTAGATATTATAAATAATGCTAAATCTAGACAATATACTATCATGCTTACCACATAGTAGTATATATGGTGCACTATATTTATTATAGCTAATATAATAAAGGAATAATGAGTTGAAGTTAAAGGAAAAACTTTCAGCTAATGGCATAGAACACCTATCAAGTCACCAATATGTGGAAAGCAGCAGAATTAGGTATAGAATGATTTAACTGCAAAGAAATACCAAGCAGGAAACACCACCTACACATTCTTGTTTATGGAGTACATATCACAAAGCAGGGAAATAATGAAAACAGAGCCATTCTGAAGGATTTGGTTATTTTGTATATATTTTAAATATACATGTGCAATACATTAAAATATATAGAGATGTGTGATTATAAATTTACATATATATATACATATCTATATGAAACCACAGAAGGGATACATATGTGCACTCACATATGTATGTGCATACCCCAACAGGACTCACCTCTATGTAAACCAGATGCAGTCCATATCAGGCCAACTTGGACATAAGTGAAAGCCCTGACTCGGCAGCAAATTGCATTCAAGAACCCTTCAGTTTATTCTACCAAGTATAAGGCCATTTAGAAATACACTGAGAAGAACTCCTCTGGGTGTATGGCAGAGCCCAGGGCTCTTCTGGCAGTGCACAATTTGCCTGAGTAAGGACTGCTATTAAGAAGGGCCTTGGAACTAATAAGCAAGCATCCATAGAGTAACTTTAGCTCCAGAACAATGCACAAATGTCAAAGAATCCTTAGATATCTGGACTCTAAGCAAATTTTGGACAGAAGCAGAGAGAAATATGTGTTGCTACTCATCACCATCTAGTGTGACCCAGACAACTGGGTATAGCTTTTAGGGGTAGACTGAAGTACAATTAGGCATATTTTTAAGATTAAACACAAATTATTGAAATTTAAAGGATTTAAAAGCAACATAAGAGGTTTCAGGTATTTAGGTATTGGTTTAAGGTTTATAAATGTTTCAAGAAGCCTAACCTTATATATGGCACCATTTGCAGCAATATCATTAACAATATTAATAATCATCATAACATATTTATATATACAAAAATAGAGCAAAGCAATTCTACAAGAGGAGATGTAAGTGAAGGTATGGGGCTGTGTGCAACCCAATATCAATACACTTCAGGAAGTTTCATAGCCAATAAATACTTTGTGGCATATATTTCTGCAGTATATATCCAATAAAGGGACACGGAATTTCCTTTCTTCCTCCCGTGGATGACTATACACTTCTCACTTCACCCTGCAGCACACATTCATGCACACATTAAAAGAGATGATATACAGAGTCTGGAAGTCTTAAACTAAGTTGGAGCACCTTGACTTCAAGCAAGTGCCCCCAATATCTGAATTCCTTGATAAATTTTGGGTTTACTTACAGAGGGAAACTATAAAATTCTCATGTCTCTTAGTAGCAGTCTTTTGCACCCTGCCATCACCATTGCAGCCTTTTCCTTATTGACAGGGGTTCGCAGCACAGGTTCTTTGTGTACATATTAAGAGGGGAGTCATTTTTGTGCATTACATATCTTTTATCTCAGTTGTTCACTGTTGCTGAAATCTAGGTTCTTAGGCAGCTACCATTGCAGACAAAGTCAGGAAGGAGCACAGTGTGTGCAGCAAAGAGTAGATGCAATGGCGAAGATACAGCTTGGGTAGGGCTTCTTTATGTTTTTCCCCACATTTGAGCTTCTACAAAGTACAGAGTCAAAGGTGAAGTCCACTGGGGGAAGCCTCAAACCCAGTAGCTAATAAACTACTCACCATACACTGCGGAAAGACCACCACACTAACTTCTCATGATTTTCAAAAAGTAATTGGAAGGGAATCACTTTCTGGAATTGGTAACAGAGTCAGATGAAAAAGTTCAATGACCCAGTGTAATGAAAGGGAGGAACAATGAAGGAGTCAGAAGGCCCATGTTCCTGTCAAATTCTTCTGTCAACTCAAGTGTGTGGCCTTGGGCAATTCCCTTTCTATTTTCAGACCTCAGTTTCCCCATCTGTAAAATTACAACATTGAACTATATTAATATTTAAGATTCCTTCCAGCTCTAAAATTTTATGACTTTTTATGTCCTTTATTAAGGCCTGAGTCATGCAGTCTCAGGGTGGTTAGCTTCTACGAGAGAACATACCTCTGTAATATCCTTTGCTTTGTTCATTTAGCTATAAAGCACGTCTGCCTTTGGCACTTGGGTCAGACATACAAAGTTATGAGCATCCTGATTTACTATCCTACTCAACATGCTAGTAGAATCTGTCAGTACTATAAGTTGATTAGCAGGAAAAGGAGAAAACACTCCAACTAATTGAATTTGGAAATATAGAGGAGCCTCATATGCCCACAAACAGAATGTGGTTGTGAGTGCATACACACATTGAGATACCGTCTATTGCTAGCAATCAACTCATTACAATAATCCATTTCCCTTAATACAATTTAGTAAATAGTATAGCATAGCAAAGTTTGTCATCTAAGGAAATGCCTATGGAAAAATAACACTTTTGAGTGTGTCAGAGAAAGAGAGGCGGGAAAAGAGAAACAAAAATATCAAACAAAATAAAAATTTGGACAAAGATTAGTTTTAGAAAGCAGAATAATAGGTAGGAAATGAAAAACAAATGTAACAAAGTAAAAGGAGGAGAACAGAACAGGAAAATGAAAGAAGAGTCAGAGAGATTGAAAGTAAGAAAAGATGTAAGAGGGAGAAAGTAAGGAAAAGAGGGAGGGAGGGAGGGAGGGAGGGAGGGAGGGAGGGAGGGAGGGAGGGAGGGAGGGAGGGAGGAAGGGAGGGGGAGTCAGATTCCCTGGAAGGTTGAACGCTGTTCCACATGCACCTGTGATGACCATCTTAGAAGAAAGTCTTCAAAGGCATCGTGGAAAGCATAATGACAATCAGAGTCTGCATCAAGAGGCAATACCTTGGGGAGCCCCTAAACCTCCACATTGCTGGCTCTGTCAGTCCTCGGTGTCCAAACCACATGCCCATATATCACCTGAATTTGCCATGACTGCCATAAAAGCTGAGCAGGTCGGGTGTAAAAGGTTGAAGAAGAGTAGGATAGATTCTGTGAAAGAGCAAGGCATCCTGCACTGGGATATACTTTGCATTCTCCTGATACTGCAGGAACAAAAGAGGCAAGGCCCTAACTTTGGCTAGTTTATTATCTCACACCCTCCCCAAAACATGAGGCTTATGCTTTACTGAAGAGGGCCAGAAGGAGAACACTCTGGATCCATCTTGTAGCAAGGTCATACAGACTTTTCCTGGGCCTTAGGGAAAGGTGCGCTACCAGAAGAGATTTTTCTGCACACAGTGTTGGTGTGCCTCTTACAGCGGCAGCCGGGTCGCCGGAGGCTATCATAGCCCTGCTGGCACAGATGGAGGCATCCACGGGTAGGCAGGTAGCAGCACAGGCAGGGTAAGAAGAGGGAGATTAGACTCATGGCTGCCCAGCGAATGAAGCAAGAGCTAGGCCCACAGGAGCAGGGCTCATCAGCGCAGTTGTCTTCATCATCAGTGGAGCAGTGGTAGAAGAGGCCCTTGACACAGCAGAGGCAAGTGCCGTAATCAAGGAGGCTCTCAGCAGAGCAAAGGCAACGCTGGTTGCACATCCAGCAGGAGGGAAGAGGGCGAACCGCTGTGCATGGGACACACTTGCAGCGCCCACACTCCTCGCAGATAAAGAGGTGATCACTGGGATGCCCTACAGATAGCTCAGCTTCTCCCTTCAGAGCACCATCGACCTTTGGATGGGCTCTTGCTCCAGGCTGGGTTCTGATGATGGACTGGCCTGAAGGAGAGGGTGTAACGCTGGTCAAGAGCCTTTGATCAGAGGCAGTGGTGCTTTGGGACATTGAGCTGGCAATGCTAGACTGGCTCAGATGCTGAGGCAGGGGCTGCAGCTGATGGCACTGGCTGATACTGCGTGGGAGAGCAGTAGGCGTGGTAGCCAGGGACCAATCAGACTTGTGGGTTTGCACAATAAGGGAAGGGCTGGAAAGAGCCTGTTTACAGGGTGCTGGAGGCCGTTCCACATAATCATTGCTAGCATGAGTAGAGCGCAGCTGTTCAATAGGCAGAATTTGTTGGAACTCATCTATAGCTGTGGCATCCATTTTGCCTAGATTTTTGAGCTCTAAGTGATTTGGGGTCGGGGTGGCACTTATGGTGATTTAAAAAAAAGCCCTTGTAGTTATATGGACCTCAAAGCACATCAAAAAATCCTAGAAGAAAAGAAATAGAAACAATGTATGAGAACATACAAGTCACAAGTTCAGGAAAACCAAAAAAAGTTAGGACTTATCACTACTTCATCTTTCAAATGCTGTATTGTAGGTTTCATGTAACACCTTTATTTTGTAAGTGAACTCACTTATTTTCAGACAAGTATGGTCATCCTATTCAAAGGATAAATCAGTTTTGGAGCAAATGTCATAACAATTTGCATATAAATACAAAATGTTAATTCTTTTTGTATTTCATCAAGTGACTAAGTTCACAGAAGCAACTAATCTGAGTTTTGAACATCTGAATTCTAGTAAAAATGGAGCCAAATGTTAAAGTAAAGGTCATTTCCTAATGAAATATTGATTCAATAGAGGAAACTTCACAGGTATACCAAAAGAAGCTGCTCATATGTGTATATGGACATGTATATATCCAATCATTTTCCTGCTTTACCTTCCAGAGTAGCCGGGACTGTAGGTATGCATCACCACACTCAACTTACAAAATCAAACATTTTTTTAAATATATAATAACACTGGGCAATGGGACAACCATATAAAACTATAATACAAGCCCCGAATTATTTCAAATATCACTGTAACTATGAAATTTCATTTACCAAACAAATTCTGCATAGACTGCTTTCTCTGTCTCTTACTTTTCACCAGAAACAGGTTTTGTAAAGAGAAAAAATATTCTTATACTGTACTTAAGCTTAGTTGAATATTAGAAAATATATTCTTACATCTTCATTGTGCCAAAAATGGTTGTGTAGTCATCCTCCTGAAGGCGTTGATATAGTGTAGAATCAATAAATGGTGACCTTGCAAAAATATTTCACAAGTAGTAGACTCCCGTACCTAGAGGACTGAATGTTTAGGAAAGAAATGAAAATATAAATCAAAAAGCAACATGGAACATCAGGACATAATGAGCATTAGCATGAATACAGTACATATTTGAAATCTAGTGTATTTTAAGTATTCTTAGAATGAATCAATTACTTGTACTGGTGTATAGTTTGGATAGATTGAATAAGCAGTATGAACAAAGAACTGGAGAATAGTGTTTGTCTAGGTTTTGTCAATAAAAATAAAGATACAGTTCATAAACAGTTCAGCAGCTAATAATGACTACACTTTGATGGTCTTTGAGGCTATGTTTTCATATAAATATGATTAGCAAAACTTACATCTGTTTAAAAATTAGATAAACATAATATATGTCCAAAGACTCAAATATGTATGATACTTTTGTCAAGTCATTTGATTTATTTAGGCCTCAGTTTCACTACCTATATAATTATAGGGGTGGGCTACATAATCTCCAAGAATATTGCCTAATAACGGTCTGTATTTCTATAGCTATGTAATTTAATCATTCTTTTCATCTACACCATCTATATTTTCAAGTTTCTTGAGGGTAAATTAGGCAAGGTGCCCTTATTAATTTGGAAAATTCAAAAACAAAAATAGATTCACTTCCTTGCACTTAAAGTCCCTGCAACCTTCAGTCCATAGCTTTACTAAATCTTTATACAGTCATAGTCTTGGCATTGGAAAGAAACATACAGTATTCATTTGGGCATCTGAATAAACAAGGATATACTGTTTAGTTAACTGTAGATTATATGTAAATATAGAAACTTTGGACTATGAAGAGTATTTGACAAAATTATAAGAAAAGTATTTATGTTCAACTGATCAAATACAGGATGGTTAGAGTCATTCAAGCCGGTATGTTTTAAATACAGCAATATATGCTAAATGTAGTTAGATATGTAAATTTCAAAAATACATGGAAGTATTACAAAAAGTAATTACAAGAAGTAAATACAAAAGATAATTGTAATATATTCCTTAAACAGGATTGCAATGAAGTCACTGAACACTTGGACATGCCCAAAAAGTTGAAAGCTAAACTCCATAGAATCTAGGTCACAATATAAACAACTTAGAACCAATAATAAAAATATTCAAGGGGGCTTCTACATGGTACCAGAAGGTCGCATGGTGTTTAGGTTAAGGTGTATTAAGACAGTGATAATATTTTTTCACAAGTGAGAGATTTGGTTGGATAATTGAAGAAATATAGAATAATGAAGCACTGTTGCTGTTGCCCTCAGGTAAGGGAGCTGACAGTATGAAATTCGTTTATTCCTGCTCTTAATTTTTTTTTATTAGAATGGGTTCTGAGATCTAATTGGATCAGTTAGGTTCACTGTAATATTGAGGTTTTAAGTAGTAATTAAAGGACTGGATGACAATTTTCTTGCCATTTTGGGGTAGCTGAATCAATCTAGCTCAAAAAAAGATGAACTGAAATAATCAGAATATTACACACGCACACATTATAGCAGAAGGTAATGAGGAGGAATGCTAAAAAAAAATAAGCAAGATACTACTTGTAGACTAGATGAGAAAATGTGTGTAGACTAGATGAGAAACTATCATTGTATGCATGTTTATAATTTAGGAGTCCACCCATTTAAAAAGCCACTCTTTGTGAGCAGCAACACTTAATAAACTGCCTGTGGTCAATTTGATATTTTGATATATGACAAAGAATATACATATCACATATTATTAAATAGCAGTCAATGTGGTTATGAGTCTTGGCTATATAGGGTGGAATCTAGTGATTTTTGTCACGTAGTGCCTCTGCAGTAATGAATGATGCATTGTAAACCCACCTCCATCAGCCTTGCTGGCCAGGTGCTCATGGTTTTCTGAATAGTTTTTCTAAAGCCATGAAATTTTCTATATACAACCTAAACAGAAATTCCTTTTCTTACTAGGAATCTAAACCTATTCATGAAATGGTAATTTTTTTTAATGAAAGAAAATGTATTTTTCTCTCTAAAACCTAAAATCTGTCAGGTTGAGACAAAAGTTGAAAACTTTTCTGTCTGAAGCTCTTTGCTGATGCCTTAAGACATTAATGATGTCTATAATAAATATTTTTTGATAGAGTGTGATTCAAGGCTGATTTTTGGAGAGGAGAGAAAAAATGAAGGAAGGGCTGACTACTGCTTTCTCCCACACTCACAGGCTCAATGCTGTTTTGTACCTTACTATGTAATGGCTGTGGGGTGTGTTTTTCCCCTGTATACTGTTGTTATACACTTGTTCTCAGAATAACTGAAAGCAAACATGGGGAGAATTTCTGTTATGGCTTTATATGTTTTCTTAGTTCTACTATACCAAAGTCTGTTCTCTAAAAATCCTTCTCTGTGCAAAAACATTTGCATCTCTATCAAAGCACACTCCCCCCTTTACAAATACCAAGTTGTATATAGTTTACATTACTGACCTCTCTGTTACTGACTGGGCCTCCCTCCTACCGCATACATCTTGCTAGAGCTGCCAGATTCTCACCACATTTAACTCTTAACTTGTCACGTTGCTACCCCCAGTCCTATTCATTACTTTACTAGTTTCATTAAGATTCATAGCAGTTTATTTCAAGCCCCCGAGTCTTGCAGTTTTAAGACCTTAGCATTATTAAAGATATAGGAGTTTTAGTGATGATTGATACAGAGAAAAATTTTAACACTGAATAAATTCATATACTTCTAATGGTGAGGAAAATTCTAAGAAATGTGTTGTTCATTTAAGACACTGGGATCTTTATATAAGCCCCAAATTATTTTCTAAGACACAAGAAACTTGGGGTATAGTCTTAATGCTAGCTTGATTTTGCTGTATTATTATAGGCAAGTGACCTCTCTGTTTCTTCATCTGCAAAATGAAGAGGTATGTAAGAAGAATTTTTAAAACCTATTTTGCCCTGGTCTAAATTTTCCTGGGTTTCAACTGCACATCTAAGTCTCAAATTCTTTCATGAAAAATTAGTCTCCTTTCTTTTCAATCCTTGGTTACTTACGATTCAATTCTGAACAAATATCTCTAAATACAAACCACTCATATCATTAGATTATCTTTCTCAGCTAGAGACCTAAAAACAGAACATAAAGAAATAAAATGTCTAGAATTTTACATTAAGAGCTTAGTGTATGTTTGTTAGACTCAAATAGTCAACAGTATACTTAACTATGGATGAACTGCTAGTCTGCCTTATTTTTATTTTTGTATGTAGCTGTCTTGCTTTAACACCTTATATACCCCACATAATAATACATCACATTACAGCAAGGTTTTAATATGGTGCAGAAAATCAATAATAATTTGCATTTCAAAATGCATTATCTGCTTAAGAGTTCAATTTGTTTTCTGTTCATGGAACTTGATTTGAAACATTCATAGGTGAGTGATAGTTAGATGTGTTGAAGGAAGTGTACTGTAAATCGGTTCCCTAGGTCCTATCAAATGTCTTTTGACTATGCTCACAGGTTCTTATTTTGGACCAAATTCCCATATGCCACATAAAGATATGTACACATATACCCAGGCATGAATCCAGAAATTTCTAAATCATTGCTCTGACTCAATGTAAGTGGGGGGTTATGCCGTGTCAGCTTGCGCCATTTCTACCCAAGGCAAGGTGATGTGATGAAATCTGAACGATGCACAGCCCAGACTTGTGAGCCAATAGCAGACTAGCCCCATGCTGACAAGGATGCCCGCTGGGCAGCCAGACTGGCCTCAGCACGGGCTCTTCCTACGTCCTCACCTTGGGTGGTTAGGCTGCGCAGTAAGGGGCTTAGGTAAGCACCAAAATGCATTAAAGGTCAACAGACTAGACATTAAATTGGCAAAAAAAAAAAGGATCATGTTGAATTCCTATTTTAATTTCTAAATTTCCAGTATGGATAATTTTCTACGAGAGCTGATTCATTTAAATGTCATTTTAAGGGTTTTCATTTTATTTTACCCAGGCACTTTCGTGTGTGTGTGCTTGCGTGCGCGCGCGCGCGCACACGCGCGCACGCGAGCACACACACACACACATACACACACACACAACACACACACACACACACACACACACACACCGAACGCTGGAATGAATGGCAATCTGTGCATTGCATAGAAGGAATTCTGAAGTCTTTAGGAGCTAATCCCTGTGGCTTACCTTGAGAAAATGGTCTATCCATGCCGAGAAAAGCAGAAGAACTAACGCTCGATCTGGCTCAAAGGATCTCTTCTCCCGAGTCTTCACGTTTCTCCACCTCTCTTCGGAAAGTCTGAATGAAAACTCCTTTAGTGGAAGAGAAGATAAAAACAGAGATAGTTCTGCCTTGGTCCTCCCGACACAGCAGGAGAAGGAGAAAGGAAGAGAGGGAGAAGAGAAGAGAGGGAGAAGGGAAGAGAGCAGAGGGAAAGGGAGAGAGAGAGGGAGAGGGAGAGAGGGAGAGGGAGAGAGGGAGGGAGGGAGGGGGAGAGAGAGAGAGAGAGAGAGAGAGAGAGAGAGAGAGAGAGAACGGCGGCATTAAGGAGGGGGTTGAGAATCAGACCTGTAGTGGCAGACACTCTGTGGATTTTACATGCAGAGCTGAATCTTGATGCACGTATTCCCCAAAGAAAGCTAAGCAGGGTAAGTTCACCTCCTCCTCTTTCTCCTCCTCCTCTTCTTTCTCCTCCTCCTCTTCTTTCTCCTCCTCCTTCTCTTTCTCCTCCCCCTCCTCCTCCGCCTCTTACTCCTCCCCCTTCTCCTCCTCCTCCAGTTTCTTTTCCCCCTCCTCCTCCAATATTTTCCTTCCCCTTCTCTTCCCCTCCCCCTCCCCTTCTCTCCTTCCTTCTCCCTTACCTACTCCCCCACCTCCCTTTGGCCCCCGCCTCCACATCCACCTCAGTCTCCTCCAATCTGTCAGAAGAACCGAAGCAGCAGAAACTGCAATTGTAGACAAGGGGTATCTCAACCAAGCAATAGATACCGCTAGTGTGTGATTATTTATACAGCTCTGGGTGTGTTGGTATATGATCTGCGGCAGTATGTGTGTAGGGTGAGGTCGCACTCTGTGTTCAGCTCAGCTAGCTGACTGTTTTGTGAATGTAGAGGGTTTCTGGAGGTCTTGTGAATGGGTTATAGGGGAGGATGGGAAGGGATTTATTGCTCCTTGCTATAATTTTTTTCTCCCCCCCCCCCCTCCCTCTCTGTGTCGTGGCTTTCCCGGAGCTTTAGCTCTTAATGCTTGGCTAAGTGGCGTCATCCAGCTGAAATTGAATCGACCCATTAGAACTCCCCATAGGAATCTCTGTATCCGGTCCCTTGGTAATGACTGAAACAAATTTTAAAGAGGAGTGGGGTTCTGGGCGTGGTAAAAATTTTAAGGGGGACTTATTTAAATATCTCTGCCAATCACAAGACTCTCAGAATTTGCTGATTGACTGTAGCTTCAATCTGGTAAAGATTGAGCTTCTCCTTTAAGGGCTTTCCCCACCTCTTTTCCTCATTCATTCCCACTTCCCCCACACACACACACACACACACTGCACTAATGATTGTCCATCCATCATCCTCTGGGAAACCATTACCCAACCTACATTCCCTTTCTTCCTTCAGCATGTCATACATTTAACAACAAATATTTATTAAGTGCTTTCCTTTGTGCTAGGTGTTCTGAATTCCTGCTTTTATGGAGCCTCCTTGGGACTTTCTGGGTTCTGAAAATAAAGCAACAAAGCAGCCTTAATTTACTCTTAGAGAGAAAGACAAATCTTTCTGTAAATTATCTTCAGCTCATTATTTAGTTCAATAAGAAGGGGGGGGGGGAGACTGACCTCACACCCAAACAGAAGCATTGGAATAAATTCAAGCCTTATATTTAAAATTAAAGTCCTGCTTAGGTGGACTAGTGGCAGGAACTTGACCATCAACATTCTTAGGATGCTTTGGTTACCTTATCTATAAAATTAAGATGGTAAATGGTGACAGTTCAGACTAAAACAAACTCGTGAGTCTGGAAACTAAGATTCTTAATCTTACTCTAATTCCTTGTGTGACCTTTGCAATTTGCTACCTCTCTAGAGTCCCAATTTCTACATTAACAGAAGGAAATCTGATTTGGCAATTGCCCTGTCTAGCTTTGCCATTATATTATCTATACCCTTTCATGAGTATCAGAACAAAAGAAAACAGAAACTGTAAAAATGTATGGATGTGTGTTTGCACATACTCTGTAAAAGTTCTTCAGATTATTCTGTTGATATATATCATATATGTATATAATACCTATATTCATATATAATTTATAAGCAAATCTACATGTGTTTTTAATCATAATTATCAGTCAAGAGATTTTTCTATGTAAATTCTTCTCTTTTGTGGCTCAATACTGTTCTTAACTTGAGTTTATTGAAGTTAAGAAAACCATAAAAACTAAATCATAGGTTTGTCTGCAGATAATAGATTAGCAATCTATTCCTTTAACAACTATTTGTTGTACATCAACTATGTGCCAAAAACTTACTACTAGCTAGATCCAGGCCAACAGATCAACATTCACAATTTTGTCTTCTCAATTTAGGAGGTATGTATCTGACTTTGGAAAATTCAGCTAACTCCTATGAACCAATTTTTTCATCTCTAAAATAGAGACAAAAATAGTTTCTACATCATAGAATTATATTGTTGCTCTGTAATTTGAGAAAGGTCTTACATTTAGAAATTCTATTAGATTGACATATAAAAAGCACTCAATGAATAGTGAGTATAAATTTAAAATAATGTTTTTCAACTTAAGTTAGTCCATAAACATAGCAAGAGATGGTTTTAATTAAAAGTCCTTTCAGTTTTTAAAAGTTTTAAAAATTTTTTCATTTTATGTGTGTGAGTGTCCCCCCTACATGTAAGTGTACCATGTGCACCCAATGAAAACAGAAGAGGACATATTATAAGCTACCATGTAGGTACTAGGAAACTGAACCAGGATCCTCTGTAAGAACAAGTGCTCTTAACCTCTGAGCTATCTCTCCTGACCCACCTGTTATTGTTTTAAGGTACACATTTAAATTTGAACAGGTGGGTTGCCTAATTATTTCCCCCTTTATTCTATGAGTCTACATTAAGGAAAATAAATCAACCAAGATTATTCAACCTTACATTTTAGGATACCTATGCCAAAACAATTATGTTACGGATCATTCATTTCACAATGTTTTCTATGTGCCAACCATTAGTAATTTTCTGGTATTCCAACAACTAGATGTCCTGTCCTTTCAGAATTGACATTTAATTAAATAGGGAGACATTTTTAAAATCTGCAAGATACTATCTTAAGTATGTTATGTGCTTTAACTCATTTAATTCTTACAATGATCCTATGGAGTTTACCTATGAAAGAGAAACAAAAATTCAAAGAAATTAGGTAATTTACATGAATTATGAGTTTCAGATCTGGATTTAATTTACTACAGGGCTTGCATACTTAATCACTATGCCATAGTGTCCAGTAATGTGCAAATTTCCCCTACACACACATATGCAACATTCTTCCAAACTATTTGACATTTACTATGGTTAGAATATATGTGTCTCCCCAAAATTCTTATGTTGAAACCTAATCACCAATGTTGTGGTATTAAGAGGAGAGTCTATTGAGAGTTTATTAGGTCATGAAATTGGAGCTCTCATGGAATTAAGGATCTTATACAAGAGTCCCTGGTGAGCTAGGGTGTCCTTTGCATGATATAAAGATTTAGTGAGAAGGTACCTATGAATCAGAATATTAGACCTCATCAGAACTACCAGTCACTTTATATTAAACATCCCGGCTTTTAGAATACATCTACTCTAAGACATTTTGTTATAGTGGGTAAAACAAATAAAATATTAACTCTGGATATTTTATATTTATTATATACTTCTTTGTCTTTGAATATTCTGCTCAGTCTTCTTGAAATACTTCACTAATGTATATTTTTAAATCTAGGTGTCAAAGTCCCACATTGTAGGAAAACTTTGCCTAATCACGTCAGTACTCTTCTTGAGGTTCCAGTTGGCTTCCTTATACTTTAATACAATCAATTACAGAATTTGCCAGCCTTTATTTATGATTATCTGTTTTCCATGTTAGACAGTTATCATTGGTGGTACATACATTATTTATTGTATTTGTCTCTAGGGACTGATACACTACCCACACAATTAATGACTATTGTATGAAAAGTTAAATGATTCTTGGAAATAAACCTGATAACTTCTTGACCTTTGCATTTTAAGCTACTATGTTCTCAAATTACTTTTGTAGTTCAATGATTTTTGATAGACTATCAAACAAGTACAGTTATATACAGAAAATTCCTGATGCGCCGTTACAAAATTCAACATGTATTATTTGGCATTTTGCTTTACAAAACCATTAGATTTTTGTAACAGTACATTTCAGAAAATAAGTTAATGGTGTACATTTTGGGAAATAGATTGGACAGATTCATTAAATTGCTAAAGATAATTCAAGTAGTTTGTGACAGTGTGGGAACTAGAAGCAAGCACAGCTTTCTTGTTTCTTAATCTAGAACTTTCTTTTTGTTTATAAAATACCTTAATGACATTCATTTCATTGCAAGTGAATTTGTAGATGCTATTTCAGCATAAATCGGCCCATGTATTTCAGCAAGCTTCTAATTTCCAAAAAAAAAAGAAAAACCTCGAAAAAGACCATAAAAACTACTCTGCCTTCAAAATATTTCTCTTACTACTCTAAAAATCTCTCGATTGTGATTTTACAATAAATGAATCACATATTTAAACACTTTATAGCAACTGATTGCTCAGATCACTTCTCTTATGACAGTTAACTCAAAGATATCTTAAAGATGAAAGAATATGTTTAAATATTATACAAATTAAAAAAGATAGCTTACAAAGCAGTGAAAGGCTTAAAGAGATATTAGTATCTGGTCAAGAAAAAAACTGAATAAACATACCTACCTAATTTACATGAAGGGCACATGTGGAAAGTTCAGTTGTCAGAAACTGACTAACACATGGAGTTCTGAGAAGAATGATACATTCAAACTGTCTTATGTAAAAGATATACATTGAAAATAGGAACAAAATGTGTAATGTTGGAGAATAACTTGAATGACAGGCACAATAATTTAGACAATGTTTTAGGAATCAGAAATAAATTTTTGAACAAAGTAATAAACTATAAAAATAAACCATATTAAGAAAGATATATGGGGGAAGGGTAGTGAGATTATTCAGCAGGTAAAAGTGCTTGCTGTCATGCCTGAGGGCCTGAGTTCAAACCTCATAACCCACATGATAGGAGAGAACTATCTTGCAAATTGTACTTTACCCTCCCCCCCCACACACAAAATAGATAGATGCGAAATTAAAATTTAAAAAGAAAGACATATAGGACATGATAAATTGGTTAGGAATATTTGAATTAGGTCAGGTAATTTAGAAATTTAAAGCATCTTGGAGAAATTAAAAAAAAGAAAACAAAAGGAGCTGGTTTAGGGAATTGACAGTGAAAATGGGAAGTTAGGCTGGAATAACAATGATATATTGTCATGTGGAGACGTAGGAAGGTGAGCATGAGTTTTAAACAATATTGGTGCTAGAAAAAAAAGTTTAGAAACTATATTATCAAGCTTCCATTATAAAATTTTATTCAAAATTCCAA